TGAAATCCCCATCAAAAGGCTAAACTGTCTCCCCAAAATTCACTGACAGTTCTTCACAAAGCAAAGCAGTCGACCTTTCCAAGCCTCATTAATCTGTTTGAGCTGCCACAGCCGAGGGCTGAAGGGAAAAGCAGAGGAAACTTCAATTGGAAAATATTTTGACATAATTGACCCAGATGACAAACTAAGCTTAAGCACATGTCAAGCACGGGGAGTGGTACAAAAGCCTCGGCTGGGTGATACAGGAAGTTAAATCAAGCCAAGGTGAAGTCAGAGCCCTGGGAACAGTGTATATTTTTGTAATTACTGCTAATTGAAAAAAGAAAAAAGATTCCTTCATCCCAAGCTCTTAAGTAACAGCAAATAAAATGTCAGGAATATTTTCTTTCCTCTTTATTTTTTTTTTTTAAAATCACACCACAGTTGGAGCTCCTAAGCACTGCAAATGATATTTTAGAACAGTATAGTTCACATCATCAGTACTATTGCTTTGCTTGGTGTTAACATCCCTAAACACTCCTTACTGTCACAGGTGGGTTTGGTTTTCTTTGTTTGTTTTGTGTGATGGTTTTTTTTAAAGTATTGCTTCATCCTGTTTAGAACAATTACTGCATCTCACTTAGCTGAATTCCAAGGGGTTTAACTTTTGGAGGTCTAAATTCTATTTTTCTTTTTAAGATTAAGCTGGTTTTTGTCACTATGCCTAAGTGAGTTTCTGCCTTAGTTTTGATTTTAAACAGACGAATGTTAAAAAGCACTGAGCAACGAGAGGAAAAATGATGCTTCCCAAACCTTTGCAAGAATATAGAAGTTACATGATTTTTGTTGCTATATATTTTATAAACTCAGGTAATCTGCTGGCTGGACAGAAAACAGAACTCCAAGTCCCCACAGATCAGACCATCAGCTAACGAATTCATCATAACTGGCTGATGGAGTTTATCTGGGTAGCTACCATGATGGTGTCCCCCAGCCTGACAACATCAGAGCAAACTTCAGTGTTCATTCTGAAATAGGTTAAAAACAAAAAAAGCACAATGGTTTTCTTGTTTGGTAGTAAAGTTAATGACCTAAATACTACAATAATAACAGGGGAAAAAAATTCCACTCAATTGCTTCCCAGAAAAGCAACAGAAAGTCTGTAAAGTAATACTCATTAGGTCCTTAGCACAGCACAATGATACAGGATTTGCTAAAAATAAAATAAAAAAAAATAAATCCAAGAGGGCAGTCATAACAAATCTAAACAAACTAAGATGCAAGACAAATGCAGATATAATTATCTATGCCATGCAGCAAGATAAAGGAGTTTCCTCCAAAAAATATTCTTATAATATCACCACAAACCATTAGTGGTTTAATAAAAATATATCTTAAAAAAGCAGCCAGTCAAAGCTGACCCTAAGTGCAGGAACTGTCAGAACAGTACAGAGAAATACCTACCACATAAATAGTCAAAAGAGGGAAAACAACCCACAGAAATAATACAAAGGCTTTCATTTCCTTCATGTTCAATTTCAGAAAGTTAGATGACATCTAAAGCAAAAGTGTCAGAGAGTTGGTTGTATAATACAACAAGCAAGGTGTCACCAGCCTGGCAGAAGCTGAAAATTATATCCCTCTCATCCTGTTAATATGGATAGGTCTAACATCTGTACAGAAATATCCTTTTCCTACTAGTAAAAAATGCACAAAATACATTTCAGAAGAAAATTACAAACTTTGGGGTGAGCACAATAGGATTGTGAAGAAGCACAAAATGCAGAGAAGACTGACTGAAATAAGCATTTAAACAGATCAAAAACTATTGATAAGACTGGTGATCAATCCTGAAGGATGAAAAAATTCTCCTAATTCCTTCCTTCACACAGTCTTATACTCGCTTGTATCCATGACCACAAAACACTGAAAAATCTCCAAGAAGCTGAGAATAATTCAGTTGCCTTTCCTGTAAGAGGTTTGGGAGAGAGGAATAATCCAGATGAGCACTAAAACCCTGAAAAGCCTCAATACTGCATGAGATTTAGGAAAGGGGGTTGACGGGAAGGAGCAGGAAAAGCCATCCCCTGGAAAGTAGCTGACAATCTCCTCCTCAGTAAATTTAGCAGATACATTGTATTAGAGACAAAGAAAGTCGAGAGAAGGAATAAAAATAAACAATTCCCCTTAGGAATTATATGCAAGATTGCTTTGTAAAACAAACCATCCAACAAACTGCTTTTCTCTTGGAAAAGCAAAAGGTCACCAATCTTGGTGAAAATACAGCTATAAAAAGTTTTTGGCCAAGTATCAAAGAGCATGTTTACAAAAGGGCCACATTCATTGTAACATCAACCATTCAAACCTCACAATAGATTTCAGGAGAGAACAGGATGCAACGTCAAACATCTGCTATCACATTATTTTCTGCAGCTCCTCTGCCCAGAAATGACATCCAGACTCTGCCCATCTCCCAGCCCTTGCAAGAGGCCGGTCAGACGGAGCTGTGACAGCTCCCCCCGTGCCCAAAACAGATGGAAAGGTCACATTTTAACAGTTCACACATAACTCAGCTGAAACATCTCATTTAACAGAGTCAGCTGTCCAAACTGCACAGGCACTGCACACACACATCTGGAAAACAGGGCAGAGCCTTCCTGGAACCCAGCTGGGGCAGGGGCGATACCTGCAGCACTGAGGCAGGACAGACAACTTAGACCAGGAAAGTACATCCAGCACTTCTGGAGAGCTGGACTTTCTGTGCCCATGGATCTGAAGTGTAGTGTGCAGACACAATAGGTCCATCTTTCAAAAAATCACTGGACCAAGCAAGCACTGCATGTACCAGAATTGATTTCCTCTCAGGTTTCAGACACAGGGAGACACAGCATCCAGCAGCAGGCTCCCCCGGCCAAAGCTAAGCCTCCTGTCTGCAGTCCCTTCCTGAGAAGGACCCAGGAATCTGTGCTCCCTGGACTATCCCAGAAGAATACATATATCCTGCAAGCTGTACAGCAGACACTTTTCATCAAAATTACTTATTTGAGGCAGGAGAGACTGGAAGGAAAATGCAAGTCTGAAAAGTGAATTATCAAGAAACACACTCTCATTTCAAAAAACCTGATGTCAGTTCCAGGGATGGATATTTGAGACACATGTAAAGAATAGGAAAATTAATAGAGCTATAAGCAAGAAAAGTCCCCTCTCAAAAAACAAAATAAAGTCAAAACCCCACATATTCATCTACTTTGGATTTACTGCAGGAACACGTGCAGCAGAAATTAATCCACGGCTGTTGAGCTTGAAGAAGTGCTACAGACCATGTTTAACACATTTAGTACATGATGGATGTTGCCTTTTTCCCCTCCAAGAAACAAATGTGAAGTTAGAGCAAGTGGGCTAAGTTCCTTTCCTGGAGTCAACATATCCAACGTTGGACATGCTCCAGAGATGTGCTTCTTGAAACATCTGTACGTCAAATATTTGACCAGTTCCAGCTCAAGGGACTTAAACCAACAGGGAATAAAAGGCAGTTTCCTCAAGCCAGCCCCTTCTGCTGCAGCCTGTCAATGACAGGGGGGTTGCACCCTCAGAACTCCACCATGGAAAAACTGTACGCAAGCATTTCCTATCAGTGCACCTTTGGATACCTCCTGGTCAGCAGGAGCCACCTTTGACAATTAACTGCACCAGTAAAAATGTCTGATGGAGCTATGACTGAGGGATACAGGAGAGCAACAGCACTCATTTTTAACTTGGGGTTTTTGAGTGCTACCTTTTTTCCCCACCCTCTCAGGCACCAGTGCTTTGGGCGAGACAAAGAGCGATGTTTTCTTTTAAGCAGCGCAGGAGGAAAAGGTTACCTTGTTTACCAGTGACTCTGGAGTACAAAGAACTACTTTGTCTTTATGGAAGAGGCAGTAAAGGCAGTGTTTCTTAAGGGCTGAGGTTTCCAAGGCTGCTCTTGTTGAAGTGACCGTGACCCAGAGGCCTGTCTGCAATCCCAGGAAACCCGGGCAGTGAAGGGCTGTTGGCTTCAGGGTCAGAGTGACTGCCCCTGATCCCAGAGAGGACAGGATCCAGAGCTACAGCTACAGCGTGCCTGAAAGGAGGAGGAAGCTGTGCAGAAACACTAACACAGAAGGCTTTGTGAGCAAAGAGATGGTCAACAGAGAAGAGGACGTGATCTTACTGCTGAGAAGGAGATACTTTCAAAATACTTAAACAAATGTTTTTTCTTGCACTTCATTAACATTCTGACACAGCTGCAGGACTACCCCATGTGGAATCACTCTGCTATCCTTTTTTTTTCTTCCTATGCATTGAAGCTCAGTATTATTATTAAATAGCTTCCATTCATGTGTTTTCCATACAACCCACAGTGATCAATTACACTGATTCACAGGCAACGAATTCCAAAATTTTTCTATACCTAAGGTGTTTCTTAATGCTGAGAGAATATCCCATTTATCCAGGACTACTCCAGATATAACTGATTTTGCAAACTTTCTAAAAAGTGATGAAGTAGAACTATTTCCCCAGAAAAAAAGGCAAATAGGACAAGAAAAATCTGAAATGAAACATAAAGAATAAGATAAAGAAAGTGACCTTCCTGAGGAAAGAAAAGGAATGTAAGAGATGACATGATAGTATTTCTATGCAAGCAATTATTACAGTAAGAGCAGCTATCCACTACCCAGAGTTGTGTTTCATTTATATTACTTTAAGAATTTCACTGTTGCCTTTTTAAAATACTTTAAAAAATGCCAGTATTTAAGATATCACTCCACAGCTTACCCACCCATCCAACGTACAATTTCCGTGCTAATATTTTTTAAAAGCATTCAAGAAAGCACTACTTCTTTTCATAAGAAAACCCAAACCTTCTTACAAGGTGTTTGCTGTAGCATCATATATAAGGATCAGAAACAGCAAGAGCCACTGGATTCTAACACTGGAAATTGGTAAACCATGAGTTGTTATGCAGGAGTGAAGAAAATGTAAGTCTAAAAATGGCCTACCTTAACTGCCAAGAAGTTGAGACCACTTTCGTGGGCCAAAGCTTTTGCTATCATGGTTTTTGAGCATCCAGGAGGTCCATAAAGGAGCACACCTTTTGGAGGCTGGATCCCCATGCGGATGAAGGACTCGGGATGTTTGAGAGGCCACTCAACTGCCTGCTTCAATTTCAGCTTCACGTCTTCTAGTCCTCCTATGTCTGACCAAGAGACCTGCAAGACAGACATTTGGCTCAATTCAGACCACTTTGCTCAATTTGGACAATGGAGAAAAACTACTAAAAAAGTTAACAACCAAAAAGTGCTCCATAGAATGTGTACTGGTTATTTCACGAAGTTGTTTTTAAGGAGTTACTTCTTCAAAAAGCCTTTTATAAGAAAGAAGCAGTTATTAACAAAGTCACACATCGTAAAGGAGGATTACACTTGCTTTATGCTGGAGGATGCACATGAAATATACTCTACTTCAAAGGTCAACAGCAAAACCAGCAGTCACAACTCAGTTCTCCCATTTTTAATGTGATGCTGAACTTGTAACAGGACTGACTGTTAAAAGTTTGGGGGCGTTTCTCCACCTGCCAACACTATCACTCCAATATAGGACTTGGGCACTTGGAGATGTGACTAGAAGCTTGAGATCAAACCAGCCTCCAAACACACAAGCATCTATGGCAAAGCAAAGCCACATACAAAAGGCAACACTCAAACCCAACTACAGCTAAAAAACAAGTGCAGTTCAATGTGCTCTGCTGAAGACACAAGACAGGCTTGTCAGGAATACATCAGGGCAGAACTAATATGTCCTACCCAAAACAGCAGACAGATCTAAAACCTGTTACACCTCTCCCCACATCGCTGCCGACAAGCCCGAGACTTTTCCCTGCATCCCCCAGCCTGTTCTTTGTCCTGTCACCATCCATTCCCGTCCACTTCAAATATTAAACATGTCAAAACGCACCTAAATCAAATGATCTTCTCCCTTAAAACACTCTTCCAAAAGTTTGCTAGACATAAATCATCCTTCAGCTCTGGAAAGCCAGTTCATTTGAAAGGCAAGCAGAGTGTTACTGAGAGGCAAAGTATTGCCTTTCTCCTGAGCTGAAAACTGTTTTCACCCCTGGCCTGTCCTTATTTTCTCCTGATACCAGTACATGGAGTGGAAACTAGAAGCAGACAGTCCTCTGAAAGAGGCAGTTCGGTCTGCTATTGAAGTGGAAGAAAAAGAGCATTTGGATGTGGTGGGAACACTTTTGTTTAAGACCAATCGTACTTCCAACCACACAGAACTTCTCCTGGATTGTCAGACTTGGACATGGAACAAAATTACAAAGGCAGCAGAGAGCAGACAGCAAAAATCAAGACATGTGGGTCAACCCCTGAGAAATACTCTGAGTTTAAAGGCTAATGGAAGGTGAGGAGCCACCCATCTGCTGCCTAAACATCATCTCTCGCATCAAGAATATGTTACAGGAACACCAGAAAAAAAAGAAATCTCTTTCTTAGTGACCAACAGCCTCTGGTTCTTAAGTAATTAATTTATAAGCCTGGGAAAGTATCAAATATGTAGAGTTGATCACCACTGCGAACCAAGAAGGATCTGAGAGCAGAGGGGTCTGTCAAAAGCAAAAGAAATTCCTATCACCTGACTTTGAGCTGAGTATCTTGGGCTACCAACACAGTTGAGACAGAGAGAGACAGAAATCCACATACAGACTTAACTACAATGAAGCAAACAGACAAGTTCATAAAAAGTGAAACCATGTGCCAGATACCTCACTTGCATCTTTCCACTGTTCCACCCACGCAAACCCTTTTCACTCAAATTTCCAGGTTGAGTAACATAATTAAACTCAGGACAGTTAAACTCAATCTTCCCATGTTACATAAGTTTGTGTTTCTGATTCAGATATGAAAGAGTGTGGTTTAAGTTTCATCTAGAAAAGATGTATTACCTACCCCTACAACCCTTAATTCTATCCAGCAGCTCTGTAAACTGCACACAACTAAATCCTGGTGCTCTTAAACAACTTTTTCTTAGGAAAGATGACAGACAACATAAGCTTGTTCTCCCTTTTCAGTAACAATCCTTACACATACCTGGTAAAGACTAGTCATTCTTATCATCATGTCTTTCCATCTAGACAAAGATTTTGACAAAGATGAATAAAAATATCTTAAAAGTAATTGGCCATCAGGAATTCCCTATAACTTTCAGCAACAGAAAGCAAAATGCACTGGCAGTACTTTGCACACATATAAAAAGCCAGGGAAAACACGTAAAATGTTATTTTTACCCTCTTGCAAATATTCAGTCTACTGCACAAGTCTTCTGAGGCATTATTCAAGTGATTTTTCAGCCCCACTATATGTCATTTAACACCACCAAAAGTGACAGAATTGTACAGAAAAGGTGAAGTACAGCCACCTTACATGAAGTTTGTTTCCAGTAAGCTGGAGACTTATTCTGATTTTGCTCACATGGAAAATTGGGAAAGGGAAAAAGAGAAGACAACTGGGTCAGGGCATACAAACATGGCTACTAAAGTGCGAGACCTCCTATAAAAAAACCCAAACTAACCAGTCAGAAATTCACTTATTTAGAATTTCTATAATACAAGGTATGGAATTGAAGCAGCAATGGTATTAATAAACCACTACTTTCACATTCTGGTCAAGCTGTAAATTAAACAGATTTTTATTTCCTCATTTCAAAAGGAGAGAGATAAGTGTGGGTGGGGACAGGCTGCCAGCAATAGCTACACTGCTTTCACCTGCACAGGAACTCAAAGGGAAGGTCTTGCAACACCAGCAATGAAGTGTGACATTCTGTCACCATGGAAATGATTTTAAAGATTAGCCTTGGGGCTGAGCTTACACATACAAAGCCAGTGCTCTGCTGCAGTGTGTAAAACACCGAGATTTCATTAGTGCCATAATCTCCCCAGATCAACAGAGCTCAGAATACGACCCAGAGCGGCAACTCCCCAGAGGTTATTAAGCACCAGCAATGAAGAAATAAAGCAGACGTGCAAAGGATGTCTCATCCAGAACCTTTTGGCTGCAAAGACACAAATCTGAGTGTTGAATTACAGCAAAGGGAGTGAAAGAGGCAAGCAAAGCCCACAGCTAACAACGTTTCAGGAAGACCCATAGGAGAGGGAGGAACAGTAACTACAGCGCAACTCTCCAAAGAGCTGCAGTATTAACTTCCTGATTTATAACGTGCATCCCCTCTCTCCTCAATCCCTGCTGCAGAAAAAGCAGCCTTCTAAAAAGGCTGTAACACATAGCAAAGTTCAAGAAAGTTTCTGTAAAAATGGAAAACAAGATGCTATGTGGAATCAGGCAGCGAGTATTTTGCATTTGCCTTGGTCACAGCCAACACACACGGCAATCCAGGCACACAAGGAAGGACTTGTGGCTTTATTTAGAAGTTACTTTGAACTCCTGTCATTCAATTATCAGGTTAAAAGTCACAAAAATTTCAGTTTAATTCAGCATGTGCATCAATGGTTTTACCTGTAACTAATTGCACAGGCCAAAATTCCCATCCACACCAAGGGGGCTGCCAAGTGAATCCTATATCTGCAATAAATAGCTGAAAAGCTATTTATTTATTTCTTCTCTTTGGAAAAAAAAAAATCCCATAGCTGATAATTTATTTAGTGTTAAAAGTTATTTTTAGAAAGGATTTTTTTCAGATGGTAGTGGTCACAGAATCATAAAATGGCTTGAGTTGGAACAGACCCTAAAGATCATCTAGTTCCAAACTCCCCTCCTTTGGTAGGTGATAAGGGAGGACGCAAAATCTGTTGCATCCAGTACTTAAGATTCCACTTTAAACTCACCCCAGGCACCAAGCAGATGGCCTCAAATTTACACTGCATCTTCACAAAACATGCAGGTCCTGTCAGCACAAAAGGAGTCTGCACTATGCTGTTATCTTCCTTTCAATAAAGGAATGAATTTCAGTAGTATTGCAGTAACTCAGGAGGTGTTTAACAAATAAAATCAGGTGACAATCAAGGAAGCCCCTGGCAGGATGGTTTAGTGGACAACAGGAGCCTGAGCAGTAGGTTGACCTGGACTGAGAACAGATTTCCTGCAGTACCTCAAGACCTTACTTCTACCTGTCTGTATTGCGCTGTTTAGCAGCATTCCACATGGCTCCAAATGTCCTGGTATGCCTAAGAGGCAGAGCACAGGGATAACAACGTGAGCCCAAGAGCCAGTAGCACAATAAGCAATGAAAGAATTACTAACTCTGGTTCTCAGCAAAGCCACTCAGCCCTTGTGGATATCAATGCCATGACACCACTTCCAGGAAAAGCTGCCTGGGGCCAGCCCAGGCAATTCCACCCAGCGCTTCCCTGCGCAGCGCCGACTCTTAACAAGCCAAGTGTGACATCCCAGCTGGCTGTGTGCAGCATCCAGTGCGTAGATTTTTATTTCCCATTCCTATAGTTTGGGAGTAAGGGTCTGTAGTTGTGCAATCTAATTCCCAAGTGACTCATCTTCATGCAATGAGACATAAATGGTTTCTTCTAGAGCTTGGGGAGCTGCTGAGAAACACCAGCACAGCCACTCACAGAGTCAGGATTCAGCAGGATTAAACACACGTTCTTTCGCTCAATCTTCTTAACCCAGATCAGAGTTGTCTTAAACCAGATCAGCTCCCCAGCCCAATTTATGCTGAGTCTGCTACTGAACTACTCTAACATGTAATTGAGAGGGCAGTGAGTAGGATAAAGATGAACCTGACACCACCAAAAGAACTATTCATATAAGCACAGCTTGTGACAGGCTTGGCAGTGATAACCTGTGTACAGTGCTGAATTCTGCTTTCAGTTAAAAACATAATGAAACTGAAGACACTCAGGTCACATTTACATGAAAATCACAGCAATCAAACTCTCCACAGCTTTGTTTCAACACACTTCGGTTACAAATGCTAACAGTTTGTTTCTGCTTTAGTTTGTGTTTGCTTCATAAAAGGCTCCAGCTTTCATGGCTGCTCAGGACCAGCTTTGAGCAGACATCTGAAGATTTTTACCCCATTAACCCACTCAGTATATAAAACTACATACCAGGAGATCTGCTCCTGCACTACAAACTCTTCCTAAAGCGTTTAGGAACTTAAGCTTCTGCAAATGGTTCTTCAAAATCATAAATAAATAAACAAATATGGAAACAAAAAGACTATGCACAGCATTTACTGGTAACTTGAGGCTCCCACCTCACAAAATTCCTCTCTTAACGTGGCTCTGGCAATGCTGCCGGAGTATTGCACAAAACAACTTACTTTTGGCACATCAATTGCCACCTCCCTCATGGCACTGGGCCTGACATCATTCATCCCCTGCAGGAAGTCATTGAAAGCAATCATCACTGACCCAGCCACCTCGGTGTCTAACAGGTTAGGGCTCTTCCCCAGCGTTCTCCGCAAGGCGTGCAAACCTATTGAAACAAAAAAAAAACAACATGGAAATATGTAGACTTCCTCTTGGTTCTCACAAACAAAGTGTACCACACACAAACACAGAGCAGCACTGGAAAGGAAATGATGTCCAAAGGAATGTCTCAGCACCAGGTCTGAACTGCGTCAGAGAACATGCGAGACACTTCTGCTGGGAGAGCATGAAAAAGGGGATTTAACAACCATAGACAGAATATAAACTAAATCTGTTCCAAAAGTCAGGATGAAACAGCCTTGTTCCTGTGTTCCCAGAGGGAGAAACTCTAAACATCCATACATTGATCTGAACACATTTCTAAACCACAGAGGAAGAGGGACAACGAATATTAAAGGCAACATTAAATCAGCACAAGTAAGACATTCTGCAACCTTTTCCATTTCTCTATTATCAGGACTGTATTGTCCAAGCTGCTTTTAAAAGCAAACTGATGAGGTTTCTTTAACCTTCACTGGAACCCTATTTTGCCACTTGGTAAGATGCCAGACACCTATCTTTTTCTTGACGTGCAACAAATATTCCCTGCAACACCCAACAACTCTTCAGTGATTATACTTTTCAAATCAGGCATAGCTTTTACCTTCTCCTTTGTTTGGCCAAATCACTCACGCACAATACCTATAAATCTTCATACTAATTCCTAGTTTCCCCTATAAATCAATCCACCAAAGGCCACACAAGTCCCACCCACTCACACATCAATATATCAGTACTCCTTGGGCAGGACCAGGCTGTACCATTTGCAGCTCCCAGGCATTCCCTGGAGAGCAACTACAGCCCCTGTTGTGTAAGATGCCCGGAAGCATCATGGTTTTCCCACTGTATAATTATCCCTTTTGAGGTCTAATATAATCCAGAGTTCTATTGCTTCTGTTTCCAATTCTGTTCTGTGAACTGAAGCTGTCAAATATCTTATTTTATATATTATTAGTTGATGAGCATAATTTTATATGCAGGTATATACACATAACACATTACATATCTGTTGCCATGTGTTCCCAAACAAATGAGGCAGTTCATATCCCACCAGTTCACCTTGCATGACCATAAAAAGACAAACATTTGTTAAGTCTCTTCTATATTTAACCAAACAAAACATCAATTAGTGCTACATGAAAGGACAATAAAAGGGATTAAGCCGTTTCTGAAAATAGACATGGTTTTAACTTTCAGCAGATTGTTGTCTTTTTTTTTCCCCTACAGAGGCACTGGTAGAAGCAGACATGCAACGTTTCTGACAATGACAGGAATTCTGCATTTCCTACAATATATACAACGTGTGAAGAGATATAATATGTCCCCTGTGAAGCAGTACAGCTGGTGTCTCTCCATAAACTGCCAATTACAGCAGAGTCTGAGCACCTGCATCCAATACCCAGGCTCTTAATACAATAACACAAAGAAAAAAAGTTTGTAATTCAGGTTTCCCCTTGCACAGAACATCCAAAACTAATAAGATACATAAATAAAAACATTCCATGAGGCCAAGGAGAAAAATGAAAATCTGGTCACCAGAGGACAAGTATAAAATATAACTGACTCATTTTAACAACCCAGACAATTTTCATGGTATTCCTCGCCCCCTTCTTCCTTCCTCTAAGGAGTTCATTTTAAGCAAACAAAAAACTTAAGTGAGACAATACAGATTCACCCCTCGGATTTAAAAATTACATCCAGGCAAATAAACTCAACATCTTACTCCAGAGTCATTGCAGTCAACACTTTGCAGGGTGGGAGCAGGTATTTGGGTTCAGTCTTACATTTTCTTTTTGGTGAAGTCAATTCACACGGCACTCTCACTTCAAAAAAATGCAAGAATAACTAACACAGCATGAAATTAAGGCATAGAGAAAGCAAGCAACTGATAAAGATCTCTGCTCATTTCTATACCTGTCAGCTCCACCAAGTACCAGTTTAGCCCAGTGCTCATTTGATGCATTTTAATTTTGTCATGGTTATCTTTTTTGCTTATCTGGCATGAGTAAGGCTTAAAACCAAACAAGCTTATTTTAAAAACAGAGAGCACAGCAGATAAAAAAGCCCAAGGAGAATACTGCTCTTGAGGTTTGTTACTGCCAGTGCTATGAGTACGAGCGAAATTTCAGTCCTCAGCAGTGGGTTTGAAAGGCAACAGCCTTGATCCAGAACAGGAATAAAGAGGTCACAGCTTTCCAAACAAAGCCGGAATTCATTTCAGCATGTGCACGCACACGCCACTGCACAGGTCAGCATTTAATTGAAACAATGTTTTACATTAAAACAATAATAAAAAACAGATTGAAAAAGAAAGCATGATTCTTCCTGTTTCCTCCTGTTATCATAATCATTCTTTCCTGCACTTCAGATTGACCTCTAACCAGAGGGGAGGGGGGGAGTCTCAGTAACAGGAGAAGGATACAGCCAGTGGTTTGCCAGAGGCAGAAAAACATATCCTTGTCTGGAGATGCTGAGAGATGTATTTAACGTAAGGAACTGCAGGGTAGGGTGCAAACCACGCTGCCAGAAGCAAGGCAGAGGCAAAGAAGGGGGAACATTACAGCAAACACAAGTTTATCACTACAGAAGTCATAGTGAAGATTCGAAGAGTCACACCTCAGAAAACATCAAGCAGCTCAGATCAGCTCCTGGGTATCTTCCACGTGGGAATGTTTTGGGTTGAGTATATGTCATTGCTGTTAACTGACTGAGCACAACATTCGTTTCAGCTCTGCTTGTTCCTCTTCAGATGATACTCTGTTTTTAAGAATTAATGAATATCAATAACTTTTAGCAGTGACTGAGGAGGCTCAGAAGTGGGCGAGTGGGTTTTCACTTTTATTCCAGTCCTGCCTGAGGAGAGGAAGGACTCAGACGTACTTAGCCCGCTGTAAGGTCAGTGGGACTGTTCACACAGGCATGGGATACCCATTTCTAATCAAGGGATACATGACCAGCCCCAAGGACTGCCCTGTGCAGAGCAGAAACCGAACTTGGAAGGCAGCCACCGATCCTCAGCGGAGCAGTATGGAAAATCCCAGTTAAAAAAAAAAAAAAAAGAGAGAAGAGAAAGCAGCATAATAAGGCATGCATGATTACAAACAATGGAAAACAAACAGCTTGTTCCAGCCCAGCAACTATGCGCTCTACCTCTCCAACTCATCCTGTCTGTCTAGAACAGAGGAAACTGAGTGGACAGAAGGGAAAAAGCCAGCAGAACGCCCTGTCCTGGTACAGATGATCCTTCTTTGGTACCAGGCTACTCATGAGGTCAATAGCATTGTTTGTCTGTAAGATCTTCTTGCTCATAGCTTGGCTAAGTTTTGGCACATTAGATCATAATCACAAATATCTGAGCCTAAAAATAGACTCTACGACACTGCTATATTTGTCAGAGTCTGCGTATAACTACACGCCACTGTAAATAACAGAAAGCATCCACTCAGAAATGACCAACATATATACTTTAGGTTTCCAAAACAGAATATACACAACACTTGAAGAAATAAACTGAACCAAACCAAACTGTTAATCATGCTCATTTACTGCCCGTCAGCTGTTTCTTCCACAAACCCCTCCTGCCTGGACTCACTCTACCAGAATTTCTAAGCAGCTTCAAAGAATTGTAATCTTCTTGCAAGATTGTTTACAAAAGGAAATGTTTCTTCTTTCTCTGATAATCTGGCATTTCCCTCCCAAATTCTTACAGCCAAACCCAGAAGACACATAGCATTTCTCCATGTGATAGCTGTCAGATCCAACTCTCCTGCATTCCAAAAACTGATTCTCTCCTACATGGCTGGCAGTGGAATACTCAACAGAGGAGCATGGATGGGTAAGATCTCAGCTTCCAAATGGCAGTGGATGGGGCATCTTCCTCTACTGCCAGGTTTTTACGTACTGTACTTCAAAATTTAACAGGTTTATGCACAAAAAATTTTTCATATTACTTAGAAACAGTTTATAAATATATTTTTAAACTTTTTTTTAAATTTAACATGTCCATAAAATTCACACCTACTTAAAAAACAAATTAGGAAGCAGAAAGCCTTGCTTTTTGCTCTCAAAACCATATTCTGCAATCTGTCTTTAGCTGCCAGAGCTATATGGGAAAATCCCTGAAGAACTTTTCGTACTGTTTGCACAGGAAAGATAATGCCCTTAAATCCCTTGTAACCATAACACTGCAAATTCACCAGGCTAACCTGAGCAATAACCTACTGTAGGGATTATGCACAGGATTTATAGTCCTTCCTGAAGAGCCCTGGCATTTGCTGGAACATGTCTATGGAGCTGCCTGAAAGTTGCTGAGAGGTAGGACAGGGGAGAGGAAGGAAGGAAGGAGGAACTGTATTTTCCAAACTTCTTTCGTACAGGAAACGGTTTATTCACAGATCAGGTACACACACGTCATTTATCCTAATCCAGTGACAACAGAGGGAAATAAGGAATACCAGACTGCCTGTTCCTCATACATAAACATACCTAAGCTAAGGGGAGTCACACGTGCGTTAGAGCAAAAATAAGGACCGACAGGCTACCAGAATAGCAAGGGCAGAAAGGCAAGAAGCAGCAGTCAGTGGCTAAAGGCTGGTCTCATTGTAATTAGGAATGTTGGCAAGTCAGGATATAACTAAGAACTAAAGTCAGGAGACCTATGAAAACTTTGCCTGAAAACATTTAAGCTGTCCCCCAACAGTAACTAATCATTCTACTTACACATGCCTACTGCAGAGTTTGCTCCCACAGAACTAACACAGATATACAACTTCAGCTACATTTCAGAGTAGCTGATCTTTTATCAATTAATGAAAAGAATTAAGGCTGCTTTCAGGTACTGAGTTTGCCACTACATATTCCAGAAAACTTTTACCTGGAGCCTGAGAGGGAGTCAGAAAACATTGAATTTTTCTCCTACAGTACCATTTCCACACAAACAGTTTGTCTGAAGTATAGTTGATGACTAAGACAGTACCTGCCCCAAATTTTTTTCTGTTCTTAAGCAAA